CGCGCCGCGCTCTGGACTACAACTCCCAGGCGCCACGCGGCGCGCACAGCCTCCTGGGAAGTGTAGTCTTGACCCGCCGCCGCCAGAGACTCGTGGTCCCACTATAACCCGCTCGGGAGGCGCCCCGGGCACGCCCCTCCCGGAGCCCAGACAGCCTGGAGCGCCCCGGGCCCAGGAGGCCCGGGAATCCGCTCCTTTCTCTCCTCCTGCTTCGCGCCTTGCTGTGCCCCAGCGTCCTTCAGTGGATGGCTCAGGACCCAGCGCCCTCAGCCCTGCCCCGCTGGGCCCTGCGCGCTCCCCCCTTGGCCTGGAGGGCCGTCCCCAGCCTCCCAGAGCCGAGTTTGGGTCATTCGGACATCTGAGTGGAGATTATCTCTTCAAGAGGCCCGCGCACACTGGGAGGCCTCTTGTGGGGCCCTGCAGGTGTAAGCGCGGGGTAGCTGGACGTGGCGTCTGGAAGGGGCCACTGCTGGGGTTCGCGAGTTGCGGGGGGCCTCTGCCTCCCAAGTCAGCTACCAGGGAGCAGATTGTGGGCTCTGCACGTTGACCGCTCTGTATCTCAGTCTCCCCACCTGTGAAGCTGGATTGACGACAGTGGCCGCCTCACAGGGCTCCCGTCAAGATGATGTAAGCTGATTGACATCACATGCGTGAGAACAGAGCAGCGGATGGAGCATGACTATTAGTATTCATTGCCCTTGTTGTTGGAGGTCCCTAGGTAGGGCCAGACTGCAGGCAGCCAGAGAGATGGCCCAGGCCTAGGGAGGGTTGAGGAGGAGGATTGAGGACGAGGACAGGTGCGGGGCCAGCATCCCCACCAATGCCTGCCAACTCCTCAGTAATGCAGATGCTGGGTGGTTTGCTGGAGAGGGCACAATCCTGGGGGAGGGTGTGGACCAAGGAGCCGCTGTCTTTAGTGTTGTGGATCCTAAATTCATTCGAGTTCAGGCCAAGGAACTATGAGGCCAGGTGGCCGGTGGAATGGGCTGAGCGTTCCTTGGGCTGTCTGTGGCACTAATCAGATATAACTGAGCTTCCCAGCAGCCAAAATGAAAAAGAAAATACGGTCAGTTAAGAGACTCATCTTGGCCGGGCGCGGTGGCTCATGCCTGTAATCCCAGCGCTTTGGGAGGCCGAGGCAGGTGGATCACCTGAGGTCAGGAGTTCAAGACCAGCCTGGCCTACATGGTGAAACCCCTTCTCTACCAAGATTACAAAAATTAGCCAGGTGTGGTGCCAGGCGCCTATAATCTCAGCTACTTAGGAGGCTGAGGCAGGAGAATTGCTGGAACCCGGAAGGCGGAGGTTGCAGTGAGCCAAGACAGCACCATTGTACTCCAGCCTGGCCGACAACAGCGAGACTCTGTCGCAAAAGAAAAAGAGAGCGAGAGAGACTCATCTGGGCCAGGCACAGTGGCTCACCCCTGTAATCCCAGCACTTTGGGAGGCTGAAGTGGGCGGATTATCTGAGGTCAGGAGTTCCAGAAGAGCCTGGCCAACATGGCGAAACCCTGTCTCTGCTAAAAGTACAAAAATTAGCCGGGTGTGGTAGCACATGCCTGTAATCCCAGCTACTTGTGAGGCTGAGGCAGGAGAATCGCTTGAACCCAGGAGGTGGAGGTTGCAGTGAGCCCAGATTGTGCCACCGCACTCCAGCCTGGGTGACAGACTGAGACTCTGTCGCAAAAAAAAAGACTCAGGCCAGGCACGGTGGCTCATGCCTGTAATCCTAGCACTTTGGGAGGTGGACTGCCTGAGCTCAGGAGTTTGAGACCAGCCTGGGCAACATGGTGAAACCCCGTCTCTACTAAAATACCAAAAAAAAAAAAATTAGCCAGGCATGGCGGCATGTGCCTGTAGTCCCAACTACTCAGGAGGCTGAGGCAGGAGAATTGCTTGAATCTGGGAAGCAAAGGTTGCAGTGAGCCGAGATCATGCCACTGCACTCCAGCCTGGCAACAGAGTCAGACTCCATCGAAAAAAAAAAAAAAAACCTCAATCATAAGG